ATAGGGTGTCCATATTAAATTAAATATGGCCTCCGTATCAAAATTCAATATTAAACAAGTTTATTTATTTGATATCTCAACGGTTTAATTCAATAATAAGTGAAAACTAAATAACTAAACTTTTTAATTAGAAACAAAAAAGTTTGTGGTTATTAAATGCAATTGACAATACGTAAATTACTCTGTGTACACAATGTCTTCGGCGACTACTTTTGCTTAGTATATTCGATTCAGTTGAATTTGATCCATATTTTCTTGGTGATACGTGAGATATTCGCATGTAATATTTTAACGATGATGCAAGTTGTATAGTGGAACATGTGTGGATTGCTGCGTTCGCGCTCAGTCATCAACATCACACGGCGGGGGGCGGTCATTCGCCGGCCATTTTACCATCCGACATTCGAAATTTGAATTTTTTGTGACATTTATTAGCGGTAAGTTTTTTTTTTTACATCCTTGAGTCTGCCACGAAGATTCATGATTGGATTCATTCAGCTACATTTATTTTTGTGTTTACTGTATTTTTACAACTTTCTCTTTTTTTATGTTGTTTATATATAGATTTTTTGAGATATATTTTTTATTGGATTCCTAAGTTTACTGTTACTCAACTGTTCAGGTAGACACAATACATTGTACGTTCGCGAATAGATCCGAATGTAAATGTATATTAATAAGTATAGCGAAAGTTTAAAGTTAACTACAAGTTTAATATATTAAAAATATTCAGACAGCGTTGCTTCTGTGCTTCAGAAGGTAGTCGTTTAAGTTTTAATGGCGGATGAATATAAGTTTAATTAAGCGTTAAACACTTGTCTTTGCTTATTTAATGTTAACCATTAGTTCTAACTGTAGTTCTTAAAACATTCTAAACATTAAGTCACTTTATAATTATTATAATTTTAAAACATTTAATTTAAAGATATAATGATGATTTATTGATTAATAATTTCGTATATTGCTCAGTACGTCAAAAAAGATTTTGACCTCGTTTTTATTGACAGTGCATATTCTGTAAGAAATATGACGTTTATGTAGGGATCTTTCAGAAATGCATTATAATAAAAAAATACATATATAAAATTTTCATTTAATATATCTGTGTAAATATGTGAAGAATAAAAACAATAAATTCGTTCAACATTATGACACAAATATAATAATTTGAGTAATCTATATATATAAAAATGGATTGCTGTTCCTTAGTCTCGCTAAAAGTCGAGAACGGCTAAACCGATTTGGCTAATTTTAGCCTTGAAATACTCCTGAAAGTCCAGGGAAGGTTTAAAAGGTGAGAAAAATTGGAATAATTGCCGGGAAAACTCTAAAAACAGCCCTTTTCTATTTCCCATACAAACGTTTTTTTGACATTAGATTTGACAACTAACTAATATGTCAATCATTCTGTTTGATTGAAACAGGAAAAACCTGATTATTTATGGCCTCTAAGACGGAATAGAGTTCGCCTGGTCAGCTATATCTACATATATTACTCTTGACCAAACTAAAGCGGACGAAGTCGCGGGGAAAAACTAGTTAAAAAATAAATTATTATTAAAAGTAAATAGGTATATAATGTTCTACATAGTAAAAAGATAGGTCGACGTTTTCGAAACGTCTTTTTTGATCGCCATATTGTTTTATTGCGTGTAATTTTCTATTTGTATTCCTAATTTAAGTCTTTGTTTTCTGTTTTATATATAAATATAATAACATATATACATATTTATCATGTACGGATAATATATTGTAATTCATATTAAATAATTCTACTATATTTAAATAAATATTTTAATTGACATTTATTATTTTTTAATTAATTAAATACAAACGCAGCTGAGTTTCAAGCTAATAATTAATTAAAATAATATATATTAAGGAAATGTCATTCATAATAAATCAGGCAAAAACGTAGGAAAAACTAGTATAATACTAAAAGACCTTTAACAAACGGCTATCAAATGAATCTTCACCCGTGTCGTTGATAGAGGTAATACAATAACTTGTTTGAAGGAAAATCTAGGTATCTAGATTCTAGATAGTGAGAATGTCTAGGTTAAAATAAATCTAGGTTATACATAATATATGAACTTGAGGTTATGAACCAATGTCTTAGAAATATTACATTTATTCAAATATACTCTAAATTTGGTACCCTTTTCAGATATAATTTTATTCAATTTCTTTTGATTTTAAAATATTTTTTTTTAAAGGTACCCTTTTGATTTCAGATATAATTTTATTAAATTTCTTTTGATTTTTAAATTTTTTTTCTTCGTAAACTTCAGCAATTCTTTCTAAAGTGTCATTCATTTAGACAGCAGTCAATATTTAAAAAAATATACAATACAACTAAAAGAATTATTTAAAGCTTTTCACAAAAAATCGAGTAAGGAAATTGAGAGAATATGTATTATACTTTAGTGCACTATTAAGATTGTAATATACGATTAAGTAAATACGAATATTACAAATATATATTAGTATTACAATGAGCAAATAAATATTCCCTTGAGTAAAGTATCAAGTTTATTATAATAGTTAGGATATAAACCTCTATATATTAAAGGATAAGCTTGAAATAACTTCAAAGTTGTTTTCATTGAAGTTCTTTATTTATAAGAACAAGACGTTATAAAACCAGGACAATGACACCGAACAGAGACCGGTTCTTGCAATAGTTTAACTATTAAGATATTTCAAGATTTAAACTACATTTAATCTTCTTCTTCTTCTACCTGGCAATTTCCTAGCTATAGCCAGGGTCTGCCTTACATGTCTGAATAGTTTTTGGCTATTTGTTTTTACGATCGGCCGCCTGCCTGACATCAAACCTCTTTTGGGAATCAACATTAATCAGTGATGTCTAAATACTCTTAGAAAGTACATATGATTCGGAAAAACCACATTGGTACTTCCCCGGGCCAGGATCGAACCCGCGCCCTTGGCGACGAGAGGCAGGCCCTTTAACCACTAAGCCACCACTGACTAAAACTAGATTTAATATTTAAATTAATTAAATTGTTTGTATTATCAAAGAATGCAAGCAATATTAATATTTTCTATCATCGCATTCGTTAAACCTGTTCCGAGTTGTGTTATAGCAAAAAATATCCTATTGGTTCCAAGAATATCTATATATATTAGGTATTCTAAAAATTACAAGGAAAATTTCTTATGAATACTTATACGAAAATTATTCCTAATGTGTGGAGGAATATTTCAAGACTAAAAGTTAATTAGCGACACCGGAGCTAATGTGTGGGCTATTGTGGTAGATAGTGAATGCCATAATGATACTTATCTTGTGGTGTTAGAGTGTAAATTTGAATGGATGTATAGCACAGACTTTGTGTTTCGGTGGATTGCCAATAAGAACATTACCCATACCATGAGTTCGCAAAACCAAAATGAACATACAAATTCTAGTTCTTCATTCATAAATAATCTCGAAACTGGAAACTGTGTAATTGTTTACTGTTTAGCTAGATGAGACAAAAACTCATAGTAGGGGATTAGGTGCACAGTACTTACCTTAAATAAGAGTTAAGACGTATCTTATTTGTTTATGAAAATCAAATAGTTTTAAAAATATTCGTGTTATAGAGCTATGTTGTTTTTATATAAATATTTGTTATACATAATTGTTTTCCAGTTAACTTTATGTAATAATAAATTGACAAAATAAAAGTCTTGGAGGCCTAAAGTTTAAAGACCCGCCTCTCATGCATGAGGGCGCGGGTTCGAAACCTGGCAAGTACCAATGTAATTTAGACACCACTGACTGGCGGTGATTGCAACAGTCGTGAGGAAACCTGGATTTATAATTTCAAATGATAAGCTTCAAATCGCCAATTCGCCTTGAGGAAGCGTGATGATTAATGCTCTAACCTTTTCCATGTGAGACGAGGCCTTTGCTCAGCAGTAGGCACCAAAAGTCAGATGATGAAAATGACAATAAATTTCATTTTTTCTCCTAGATACATAATAATACAGAGCAATTTCATATAACTTTAGTATCCTTAACATTTTTTTAAATAAGTCTGATGATATTATATTATGGAATATAATAAAAAAATAATATATTTTTTATAGTATTGAGTGTACACTTAAGCAGTTTTGACGCTTTGTACATTTTCTTGCAAACTTTTTACTTATATTTTAGATGATGTATGTAAAAAGTATAAACTAATTAATCATCAAAAACTAGGCAACTTGTATTAAAAGACAAATAATGACCTGAACATTTGCTAATCAATTTTGTTTTGTAAGTTGACGTTTACGTGTGTTTTTTCATATGATATTAATTTCAAATAAGATTTTTAATTAACAAGAATAAATATATAAATCTTTTAGACTAAGTTTTACATATATCGAAGTATTTGAGTAAGTACATAAAAATTCATTCAACCAATTCAACGCTAACGTTATATGTTGTCAAAAATAATGAGATCAAGATTTTCGTGAGTTTTATTCATTAAATTAAACTAATATTTTTTGGATATACTACGCAAGTTTATTTTTGTAAAAAACTACCTACTACCGACGTTTGAGTTACTTTTCAGCAACCGTGATCACGGTTAATATCCGAAAAATATTAGTTTCATTGTCAAAAATAACTCGATGTTTCTAACTTTTGCTATTAAAAGTTTCATGTGTTGTAAGTATATTTTGTTCGAAATGCTGCCAAAAGAAGAGAGTAAATACATAGATTTAGCATTAATTTAAAGGATATAAGAATTTTTCAAAGTGCGTTATCCATACCAAATTCAGAGATAGCCAATAGCTTAAGCCATCAGTTTAAGTTAAAATAAGACATAATATATAAATTTTAGAATTATTTTAGATACTTTAAGGCTTATGTTTACTGTTGGTGGTAGGTTAATTATTTAGGGAACGATGGGACTGACATTTAGCTTTGCTGCTAAAAAGTCCCTAAATAAAATCAGATTTAAATAAATTAAATAAAATAAGTAAGTATTATTTGTTTTCAGACCATGTTGAAGGTGGGCGGGGGTGCGCTACTGATCGCTGCGATAGTGGCAGTCTTCGTAGTCGCGACCCAGGGACGAGACCCAGACCTTGAGGCTTCAGAACAGGAAGGGAGGGAGTACATCATGCATTTAGATAAGATGGCTGGATTGAGGAAAAACAGGGCCAGTCTTGCCGAGTGGGCTTACACTTCAAACATCACCCAAGAAAATGAGGCTAAGAGGGTATAATATATATTGATTTGATATCCCCTTATTTAGTATTGAGTAAATGGCAAAAAAATAGCACACTGTCAATTACAAGCTCATTATCAATTGTTGTAAATATAACTGTAATATGAGATATGGCAATGTGTTTATAAGATAGATTACTCCATGTAGCGTTCTGTGCAGCTAATTTTAGATTAGAAGTTGGTATATATAAATCTATTGCAATGTTTTCAATATTCCTAGATCCAAGTTCAATTGGAGCTGTCAAAGCAAGAGAAGCAAGCGTGGGAGGAAACGAAGATGTATAGGTGGCAAGACTTCCAAGACTTCTCACTCCGTAGAATGTTTAAGAAATACAGTCAGCTTGGAGTATCAGCGCTGCCTGATGATAAATATAAGCTGTTGATGCAGAGCGTCTCCGATATGGAGTCGAACTACGCGACGGCAAAGATTTGCTCATTCAAAAATGAGAGTAAATGCGATCTGGCATTAGAACCTGGTAAGAATGAATAAGAGGCTTCAGTGAAAGAAATACATATGTTTGAATTAAAACTATATTAGGTTCACTGATTAAATATGCTCTATAAATATACATTCTGGTATAAATTCATCCTTAGTCATAACAGTTAGAATTTGACGTTACTAAATAGATTTTAAGTTAGAAAGCCTTTTAAAACTATGTCAAGGAGGCGCAGTTCACACAACTTGTAAAGTATGGAAAGGTATTTATTACAGATATAACAGAAATCTTCGCAAAGAGCCAGGACCCTGATGAATTGAAGCACACGTGGGTGGAGTGGCACCGAGCGGCCGGAGCTCGGGCCCGGAACAACTTCACACAATACGTTGAGCTGGATAATGAGGCTGCTAAACTTAATGGTAAATTTACATTTATTAGAAGAAACAAATGTTTCTGGCTTAATTTTACCACCATGTATGGATAATATTTCTCTGTTTAAAGCCTTCACACAATCTATTTCGCTTTAAGAAAGTTTACTTTTCATTGAGTTTTGACTGGTATTAATCTTAACACAGGACAACGTCAGTCAAAAATAATTGGGTAATAAGATGAATGTTATCAGGTTATAAAGACGTGGCGGAATGGTGGCAATCTGAATACGAAGTTAAAGATTTCGAAGAACAATTGGCGAAGTTGTGGGAAGATGTGAAGCCTCTGTACCAACAACTGCACGCGTATGTCAGGAAAAGACTCCGAGATAAGTACGGAGAGCATATAGTTTCGGCTAGAGGACCCATACCAGCACATTTGTTAGGTGAGCAATATTAACATTTCTGACAGGCAGAATTTTGATTGTCTTTTATGTGATTTTACAAAGAACATGCATAAACCGTTATAGTTAGGAATTTTGTAACTATCGATCAGTATAAAGAAACTTCTTATACTTTTTTCAGGAAATATGTGGGCACAAACGTGGAATAATATCGAATCATTCACGCGACCATATCCCGATAAGAAAGAAATTGATATTACGAAAACTATGAAGGAACAGAATTATACAGCTCTCAGAATGTTCCAAATGTCAGACGAGTTCTTCAGGTCATTGAACCTAACGGCCATGCCGGAGAAGTTTTGGCAGAATTCAATCATCGAGAAACCAACTGATAGGGAGATCGTTTGTCACGCGTCCGCTTGGGACTTTTATGATGGAGAAGATTTTAGGTAAAAAGAACACTTATTATTGATTTACGTACGTCTTCTTTAAAATTTTATAAAGCTTTGGTGAAGCATGGAATAATATATTAATGAATTCTACTTCCTTAGAGTAGGTTGAGAGCGTTTGTAATCTTTAGATTAACCAGCATTCTTAGCCCACTGTGAAGAGATGCATGAATACGGTTAAGGCCCAGTATGAGTATTTCATTGAAATAGACTATCTATATGCGATTGGTTTGTCTTTGGTTTACATGCATGTGTGTATAAAATGATAAGATTTAATTGTAGGTGTAACGCTAAAGAAATTCCTAGAAAGAAACCAATGTCGGTTGATACATTTTATTTGTAAGGGGTAATGTGGTGGCGGTACATAATTTTTCAAAATTTCACTCCTAACATGTCTGGCTTAATTTGAAGGATCAAACAGTGCACCACAATCGATTACGAATATTTCCAAACAACACACCACGAAATGGGGCACATACAATACTTCCTACAGTATAGACATCAACCGGTGGTATTCAGGGACGGAGCGAACCCAGGTAATTAAATTGGTACTTTTTTTTTGTAAAACAGGATCAAAATGTGTACGTCAGTGACGATGGAGCACTTGAGGGTAGTTCACCATGAGATGGGCCATGTGCAATATTATTTGCAGTACAAAGATAGGCCTGTTATATTTCGTGCTGGGGCCAATCCAGGTGAATTATGATATGGCTAAACCCCAACATCAGTTTCGTTACTAACTCAATGTGTAATTAATCGTTTCTCATATTATAATTAGAAGTGAATAAAACTCAGAGATAGAAGTCATTTTGATATAAAAACCAATATTTACACACACAAACCTGTACTAAAAAATTAAACGCTATATATGTTTTTCATTTTAATCTTTCATTCACTTTAAATTTATTTGACATTTTTTTGACGAATTCTTTCACATCCATATACATGTATGTCCAAAATCAGTGCCAAGTAGTATTTGTTCAATTGTCATTATCCAAAAGGTTTTCACGAGGCCGTTGGTGACACGATTGCCCTCTCAGTATCGTCTCCCAAACACCTTCGCCGCGTTGGACTCGTGAAAGGAGATGCTGATGATGAACAGACAGAAATCAATCAGTTGTATAAGATGGTGAGTGAAGAGTGAAGGGCCAATCCTATTATATAATTGTATGTTATATTTCTGTGATAAAAACATTTATATATACTTATTCTAGATTAAATTGCTAATAATTTTATGTCAATTCAACTCCCAAACTTCAACATTAGCTTGGATTTCAGCCCTTTCTCTTTCATAACTCTGCACGCAAACAGCGTTTAAATGGAACGAATTTATTGATTTAATAATGTTAAAAAGGCTAATTAGTTTAACCTGCTATACTGTTTAATCCAGGGTATAGACAAGATAGTGTTCCTTCCATTCGCGTACGTCCTGGATCTGTTCCGATACGGCGTGTTCCGTGGCTCCACGACACCAGAAGACTATAACTGTCATTACTGGAGTTTGAGGGATTCACTGCAAGGAATCGAACCCCCTGTCAACAGAACCGAAGAGGATTTTGATGCCGCTGCCAAATACCACGTGTCCGCTGACGTCGAATATGCGAGGTGAGAATTAAGGATAGAAATGTTAATGGATTACTTATAAATTATTTTCTATAAAATTCGAAGGTTTCTATTTAGTAGATATGCCATAACAAAGTCATTTTTTTCTAGTTGAACTCTAATTATAGCTCGTAAATATTATTGTTCAATAAGAACTGGACACAAAAATATTTGAAATTTTGTGAATGGCCATTACCAGAATGGATATTACAGAGGCTTGGACCAAATCAATGTGTGTGCTAGAATAAAAAATATCATATATCTTGTTTCAGATACTACGTGTCATTCATAATACAATTCCAATTCCACCGTGCTCTGTGTCAGCTGGCCGGCGAGTATGAGCCGGAGGATCCGAACAAGAAGTTGGTAGATTGTGATATTTACCAGAGCGTCAACGCCGGGAATGCGTTGTCGTAAGTATAATGTTTTTTTCTAGTTTAGCTAATGTTAGCTGCTTGATGGTTAGTATCAAACATTTAAGCCATGAAGTTGACTTGAAATATATTCACAAATTTTATGTGCTATAAGGCAAAAGCCAAAAAAAATTCTAGTATCAATGGCTAAAACCCAGAAAGTCTAAATAAGAACTACTTAATGTAGGACACGTGATATAAACAGAGAATCCTGTGATAAATAATGCATATCAATCGGTGGAAAGACAAAGTATGATGACAAGTTACTTTGGCAAAAATCATGGACATGCATGGAAATTCTTTAAATAATTGTCTTTATAGAACTCTTGCATTAACAGTAAACAACATTTAAGCGTGTAATTTACCTTTTTGTAAACATAATAGTAAATCGTTTAGAGACTGAAACTTTATTTCTTTTTTCATTTCGTTATCAAACGTCTCAATGTGATATGATTTATTTTTATCAGCTGTACATATCAAGAAGTCGTCTTCATGACAAATATCTTGTCTAACTAGACATAATTCCATGAACAGAGGATTCTGTAACTTTGAATTAGTTGCATTTTTGTCACTTATTCATTTATTTTATGACGGTTTTTCGTATGGTCTCATAAAATTTGGGTGAATATGTTTAGGAGTGGAATAGATAAGTCGATTTATTTGAGATAAACTGATTTAGTTACAGCTTGACCGCAATATTTAGGTACTTAAAAGAAAAAACACAATAAATGATATCAGTGCATTTATTTTACGACTCTCGGGTTTTTTATTTATTTACCGAAATTGATTTGAAAGGAATTCCAGCACGAATTCTTATAAACTGTTTAAACTTATTAATGAAATATAAATATTGAAAACTTTTTGCCCTGCAGCACCAATTAAAAGGAATCTCCATAATATTCTACACTATAGTACTATTTTAAGTATGCAAAAACAACTTTACGTAGTAATTACAGATAGATATGAAGTTCCCAAAAATTCAAAACATACCGTCTTCTCTATAGACTAGTTCCATGTGAATTCCTAATATTAATGTTATCATTATATTGGTTTCTAGTACCATGCTTCGTCTGGGCTCGTCTCGACCCTGGGCGGACGCGATGGAGGCTCTGACGGGTCAACGTAAGATGGATGCTGGTGGATTATTGGAGTACTTCAGACCTCTACATGACTGGCTCGCAGCTGAGAACATGAGGACCGGCGAATACGTGGGCTGGGAACCCAGCAAGATGCGTAAGTATTATTACCATTAGGTATGAAGTCGTATACGTCGTATTTGCTGAGTTTCTTTCGCCGGTTCTTCTCAGGTCAGGGTATTTTCTTTTCCGAACCGGTGGTAGTGTCTCAAGTGACCATCAATAAGAAAGTGTAATGCTTATATATTGAATAGAGTTATTTGAGTTTGAGTATAAGGGCATGGGATAGTCAAGTAATAATAAAGAGACCTAAAAATATACAGGTCTTCCATCAATTATAATCCTAGGTAGTTACGATTCAAATTATATATTCTATGTCATGTCATCACGAATATTGAGCACAGTGCCAGTCTTTGCTACTTTTCCAGATGATAGAAATATTTCATCACACACTTATTGAAGACAGATGATAATGATATCTAAGTTGGTTCATCGTATGATTTCTAAAACCATTATACATATATATCTCTCTCTCCCTCTATCTCTGTCTCTCTCTAACATCAGCTATCTTTAATATTTCAGAGTACTGTACCGTGGAGCAGAAGGCAGCCCTCTCGTCCCGCTTCCCCGCTCCAGCTGCCTCCCCCTCCCCGCTGCCCTCCGATCACCCCTCCCCCTCCCCCACCCCCGCGGACCCGCCCGCGCCCGCGCCGGCGCAGCGCTCGTGACGCAACGTACTTACATAGTATAATAGCACCAGTATTCATAATAAATGTTTTTTTTTAATACAAACGTCTTTATTTTCTCTTCATACGGACCCTTTGAGAAGTATGTAATGGCTTTGAGAAGTTTATAATAATTTTTATTATTGGAAGAGATATTGAAGACTTGAATTTTTTCTATTCATTGTGTACCTAAAATTATAAAATTAGTGTCTTCCGTTATAACTTATTTGAAATGTTTCTCTACTTAATCTATAACACACAGTACGTAGAAGTACTTTATTCTTATTGAAATTTATAATTAGTTATTATTTATTTCCTTTTCCTTTTGTTCAACAAATTTGAAATTGCAATAAGAAAACTATAGAGCTTATGTTATAAAATAATTAATTATTTCACGTTGCCCTATCATTCATTATAAATTGAATGTAAAGAAAATATTTAATTGCCTAATGTCTTAGGTTTCGAAGTGTTTGTGTTTACGAATATATTCTAAACAGAATTAAAGATTTCTTGTACACAAAACCCTTTCTAATCAGAACAGAAGTAGACTGATAGTTATTCAAATACAACTTTATTACAATATTGTTTCAATCAACCTTTGAAGTAGGTAGTCTTAAAAACAGATGGCATATGGCTGAGATAATGATAAGGATGTTTTAAGAGTCTATCAATTGAAAGATGGACTAAACAAGACGAAATCTTATCAAGCACTTGTATTGATATTGAAGTATTAAGCAATCTTGATCACAAGTCTACTAGTTGCACTCTGAGTGCGACGGACGACAGACGACTTGGTAAGTTATTAATATATACAAAGTTTTAAATCAATCCAATTTCGTTTCAATAAAAAATATATAGCAATTGAACGTAGCTAAGACTTTTTATTAAAAGTTCTAGTTTATGTTGTAAAGTTAATGCTAGTTCACAGATACTTAGGTCTTAGGTGTCGACGGTTTGAACACATATTGTTACATTGAACTTTTTATTTGATAATACCCACAAGGCTGAACGAATTATTGGTTTCTTTTTGTATTATGAAATATGATAGTTTTTTTATCCTTCCGAGGTTACACAGATGTTTTCTAGCTTTATCAATTGATTTTCTGCAGCATCTTTCAACATATTGATTCATTGATATCACACAAGAATTACTCATTCACAAAACAAGAACTAAATAACTTATGACGGATTTTTTTTATATAACTTCTGTTTAATTTGTAATTCTTATACTTAAAGTTTTCTTTATTAAAACATAAGTGGAATAATCCCAGCATATTTTATGGAAATCATTTAATGTCATACACATGCAAATGTTTGTCGGTCAAAGTGACTTTTAAGTCTAATGCATATACAAAGTTTGAATTTTATTTGCTTTACCTTTAATTTTCATATGTTTATTGTTTAGTATAAGAATATGATAAAAGTCATCATTGCGTAATATTTTTTCTCATTTAATTGTGTCCATGAATATACAAAAAAACAAAAAAAACATTAACAGCAAATCAATTGGACAGTTGAGATTAAAATGTACGTATTTAGCGCGTCTTCGTCATCTCATTTGTTTCGGGTAAAAAATTACAAAAGGCTTCAAATCCCTCACAAGCATGACAGACAGGCCAACACACTAATTCATTTGCATATAAACAAATGACAATATTGAAAAATAGTATCAGTTAGTTAGTTATGAGTGTTTGTCGCTTAAAGTTGCAAAATGCCGTGTGGCTATTGTTCAGAGACCACAAAAAAAGTTTTAATGGTGAGTTGATTATATTGACGCGATAATCACTGTGTAATAACGTCTAAGATGGTGCCTTTCTATATTTCAATAGTCGTGTGTATATCTTCTTAATTATTCTATAGGTACTCAGGTCTTTATAGTGTGATTCTATTCCATTAACAAAAAATATTGAAGTTGGTAAAATTGAATTCACCTTGACATGACTTCTGTGCAAAATAAGATAAATCTTTTTTATCTCCTTTAAATACGTCGTTTATTTTTTCTGCTACCAAGCCTGAAGTAGATGAAAAATTATGTAAAGATTAAACCTAGTCATTAAATCATATATGTATATATAGTTAATATTCAGAATTCTGTTTTCATTCTCGAGTTTAATGGTACTTTTTTTGGTACTGCCGTTCATAAAGGAATTTTACAGGTGGATTCTTATTTGTCATTATAAACTAGTGTTTTTAAGATAAAAAAAGGTTAAAATCTTATAATGAGCCAGTAAAATAATGATGTGACCATTTTCAAAACCAAAAATAATGGGTTATAATTTTCATTAAGTACCAACCTGATTAACCATTTTTTATGTACTAGCTTTCAGCCCGCAGCTTCGCCCGCGTGGAGTTCGGTTATTTCGTGTTTCCAAGAGAACGCTTCAAAAGTCTGGGATAAAAACTATCCTATGTTCTTTTTCAAAGTCAACTCTATCACTGTATCAGATTTCATTAAAATCAGTTCAGTAGTTTAGGCATGAAAGCGTAACAGACAGACAGACAGAGTTACTTTCGCATTTATAATATTTGTACAGATTTATACTGTAAAGTATTTTAGAAAAAAAATTAAAGAAGCAAAGAAGAATATTTGGTTGCACACCAATATTATAGAATATTTCTACGATTTCGCTTTGACAGTATATTTTTTGTTTAGATGATGTTCAAAATCGTAGTGGAGTTGGCTCTTGTTGGGGCAATCGCCTCAGTGTTCATTGTAGCAGCCCAGGGTCGTGCACAAGAGAGGGCCGCTGAAGAAGCAGCTGGGAGAGAGTTCATGAGAACACTCGATGATTTGACTGGAAGAGCCAAGAATAGAAGAACTATCGCTTCATGGGACTATGAATCTAATATCACAGAACACAACCGAGAGAGACAGGTAATTGTAATCTTTTGAAGAAAAAAAATTGTACAAAGGTCAAAATACTTCTTTATCTATTAAATTTACACAGTTGCAAGTAGCATTGGAGGTTGCTGAAGAAGAAAAAGAATTATGGAAGGAAACAATGACATATCTTTGGCACGAGTTTGAAGATGAGGATCTGAAGAGGATGTTTCAAAAGTACTCTAAGCTGGGATCATCTGCTTTACCAGAGGACCTCAACCAGCGATTGATAGAAGCGATTAACAATATGCAGTCCATTTACGCAAAGGCAACTATCTGTGATTACAATGATCGCAGCAAATGTAATTTGTATGTCGAACCCGGTATGATACATTATTTTGTTATTTTAAATTAAATATTTTTATAGTTAATCTCAACAATATTATTATTTTTAATTTGAATTTAAATGTAGTCTTACAGAAATTATTTGATGTTTATTTTTCAGAGGTTACGAATATTTTCGCTCAGAGTACCGACCCCGAAGAACTGAAGTACACTTGGCTGGAATGGCATAAAGCAGCCGGTGCACCGTCCAAAGGAAATTTTACTGAATATGTGAATATGAAAAACGAGGCAGCCAAATTAAATGGTATTTAAATGTTTCTATTATATAAAGAGCCTATATTGTTTTACCTCCAGTATTTTGAATATAAGTTTATTGGTTGAGTTCATTAAATTATACTGTTTAGAGTTGGATAAAGTATTATTTTTATGTATGAAAAAATGTAGGTTACGACAGCGTGGCCGAATGGTGGCTGGGAGAATACGAGGAACCAGATACTGAAGAACAATTCGCTGAACTTTGGACTCAGGTGAAGCCACTATATGATCAAATGCACGCCTACGTAAGAAGACATCTGAGACTGCGGTACGGAGAAGATGTTGTCTCTGCTAGAGGACCAATCCCTGCTCATTTGTTAGGTATGGATAAGTCTAGCATTGTGTTGACTGAAGATTTGAATTGGTTTCATTAGATAACGCTTTCCCATTATAGGCAACATTTGGGCTCAAACCTGGAATCATGTCGAGAAATTTACTAGGCCCTATCCAGAAAAACCAGATGTAGACGTCACTGCAGCACTCGTCAGTCAGGTAATAATGATTGCATCAAATTAAATTTATTGTTTATGAAAAAGTACAAAAACAAAAACGTTTATAAAATGATCGTGTTAAATATTTCAGAACTACACAGCATTGAAAATATTTAAGACTGCGGAAGACTTTTTCAAATCTTTGAACTTAAGTGGTATGCCAGATCTATTTTGGGAAAGGTCAATTATTGAAAAACCCAATGACGGCAGGGACATGGTGTGCCATGCTTCAGCTTGGGATTTCTTTGACTCAGAAGATTTCAGGTATCGATTTTCATTTGTAAAAGTTAAAGTTATAACTTTTGTAAAATTATATCGTTTTCCATAGAATTTTATCGACATTTTACAAAAATTTATTTAAATGATATTGCAACTATCAGTAGCATAATAGGTCAGGCTCTAAACTCATTCCATTTTGAAAGAAGAAGTTCTCCGGTTCGAACTCTTAATTTAGATTTTATATACAAATTACTAGGTGATAATAACTAAACATATTTTCCCGAACAGAATCAAACAATGCACAACGATAACAAGCGCCTTCTTTAAGACGACTCACCATGAGATGGGGCACATCCAGTACTACCTACAATACAAAGACTTGCCAGTGGTTTATAGAGCGGGAGCAAACCCAGGTTATATACTTTATATAAATAAATTCAACTAGATAAAAAGGTACAAAAATACTTATCTCTGTGAAGGAATGAATGATATTGCATTGTCCTGTAGTCGATAGGATTTTATTTTTTGTGTCTAACATTTTCAAATCTATTTGGTAGTTTGTTTTTATTATCAATATAGGGTGTTGAATTGTTTTTATTATTTAGGATTCCATGAAGCTGTTGGTGATATTATGTCATTGTCAGTGTCAACACCAAAACATTTGCGGTTGATGGGACTTTTAGAAGATGGTCCCGAAGATTTGGAATCTAACATCAACCAACTGTATAAAATGGTAAGATATATTAATGTGCAGTTTCTCTCTTTTCGCGTAATTACTACAGGTATATAAAAGGTAATGTTTGTTGTATTTAGAAGAACGTAGTCATCCCTTAAGTTTTCATCTCATTTTCTATCCTGATATTCTACAGGCTCTTAAGGCTTAAACTGTAATGTGTTCTATATTTTGTGATAAACATAACTTACTTATTTTGTTAGTATAAAATGACCGTTTAGCTATTATTTATTACAGGGTTTGGAAAAAATCGTATTCTTGCCATTTGCGTACGTGTTGGACTTATTCCGTTACGGCGTGTTCCGTGGTACAACATCAGAAAGTGACTACAACTGTCACTTCTGGCAGCTCAGAGAGTCATTGCAAGGAGTTGAACCACCAGCGCCAAGAAGCGAGGAAGACTTTGATCCAGCAGCTAAATACCATATTTCTTCAGACGTTGAATATATGAGGTAAGTTGAAAGTACAGTCTGAATAAAAAAAAATATTCGTGGAGTCTCTCCGCCCGCAAGAAATAAAACTTCGTAATGTCGGAATAAAAACAGGAATTGATAGAAATTGGTTTTGAAGGAATTTTAATGTTTTTTTAATACAAACTTCATTAACAGTACTTACAAGTCACAACTGATTGAACGCATGCGTCCAAGCGCCACGCAAACGTTTAACGTTTAACGCAACCTTATTGGAATTCGTATTAGAACTTAGAAGTTTCACTTCAAAAACTATAAACCTTTAGAAGTAAATAAATAATACAGAGTATACTTTCAGGTACTACATCTCATACATAATACAGTTCCAATTCCATCGGTCTCTATGTCAATTAGCTGGTGAATATGTTCCCGGGGACCCTGACAAACTGCTGTCAAATTGCGACATATACAACAGTACTGCTGCTGGTAACGCTTTAGGGTAAGTGAATAATTATTGGTACGAGTACTAAGAACTAATTTTTACTAACAGAACGTTATTTCCCTTTGACGACACATGGTGGAATTTAGGACTTTTTTAGCATAATAACTGACCCGACCTGAGTAAGGGGCTGGATTTTTATGATTAAGTCCTTAACTTTATCAGCCATTACTTCTAAGTAATGCAAATCTGTTTCGGCAAATTAAAACTTCTTTAGCGATAGCTATCCTTTTAAGGAACAACTAAAAAATAACTCTGAAACAATTGCCAGGAATATCAAATGTGCTCAATTTTTAGTATGACTAGGAGAAAAAGCAATTCATATAGTTAAATTTCCACAAAAAATAGAATTAGTTAGCCCAAGTTCAGATATTTTTGATATCAAACACTTTTGTTATGATCACTCTTCAGGTGATACGTTTTATAAGTTCCCTATTATATGTAGATTTCAATAAAAAAAAATGTTTTTTATATTTTTTACTTTAATGTTTTTAAATATGGATACAAAATGAATTAAATATAAAACTAGATCAAAAATTTGGTTTTGGCCTATTCGTTTATACTTTATAGCTATAGATAAATGTATATTTTCAGCAAAATGTTACAAATGGGCTCATCGAAACCATGGCCCGATGCGATGGAGGCTTTGACGGGTCAACGTAAGATGGATGCTAGTGGCGTGCTTGAATACTTCCAACCACTATATGATTGGCTGAAGGAAGAAAACGAGAGAACCGGAGAATACATTGGCTGGGAACCAAGCAACGTTCGTTAGTATCGAGAATTTTACATTTTTACCTTTTATCATATATTTTAATCAAACTCTATAATGACGATATCTTTTCAGAATATTGCACCCCAGAACAAAGGAATGTAATGAAGAACACTGGCTTCCAAGAGAGACTTAACAAACATATGGGTCAGTAATATTGTTGATGTTAGTAAAAGAATTTATTTATTGGCTATTGTTGTTTTATTTGAAAAACCTGAGATTATTGTGAGCCTGAACACCAGCTAAATACTGACCGTCGTGTTTACGATGTATGATCATATTTCGAAGTTATAATATAAAAACAAGTAACTTTCTGTATGTTGAAAGCAGATACAGTACACCTTTCTCTCTATACCTTACTGTTTTAATTTAATAAATATTATTGATTTTTCATAATGCGTACATTTATTTCTTCAGAGCTCAAGACACGTCACAGTTATTACAAACTCTAGCCTTTGGAACGTATCAATCAAAAATCAAAAGATATATTTAGTATATATACACTTAACACGTAATAAAGATGGAAACGCTTTAAAACTAGAGATAGTTTGAGGCACTCATTTTATGCTCACCTCCAATCATTTTAAGGATATTTTACATAAGTATTTATAATAACATTACGTGCACTATATTTGTTAAGTGATTCTTATTTGATTATTATAATCATAACGTGATTATCTGTGTATCATTATATGTAAATTCTTCAAATATATTTTTTGGAAGATTGGCGTAGTATGTAATATAATAATAATACAAAATGACATTATTTCAATAAATACATGCTCAAAAAAAATATCTCTAAACCACGTTGTTTAAATTTATAACAAACTAGCTTTCCGCCCGCAGCTTCGCCGCGTGGAGTTCGGTTATATCGCGTTTCCAAGAGAACCTTTCAAAAGTCTGGGATAAAAACTATCCTATGTTCTTTCTCAAGGTCAACTCTATCTCTGTACCGAATTTCATTAAAATCAGTTCAGTGGTTTAGGCGTGAAAGCGTAGCAGACAGACAGACAGACAGACAGACAGACAGACAGAGTTACTTTCGCATTTATAATATTAGTAGGGATAAGTACACAGTCTATCGGTTACAGTAAGTATTGTTACTGTTTCGGTCAACTTATTTCAAATAATCGTAACCCTTTTTGCTGGTTTATTTCTTATTTAAGTCGTGGATTTGGACCGTCTGCTCTTGAATGCGACGAAGCCATACAATAAATTACCCTGACCCAACAACTGTCAATAGAAGTGTTCTGTAATCATGTAATTCTGTAAAATAGTTGGCGAGTGTTTAGGTAAAATATGCTTAGAATTCTAAGGTAATTTTTACCTTAGCATTTCCAGCTTTGTTAGTATCTTCAAACTACATAGAGAAATATATCCTTATCAGTTGTATATCTATTTATTAAGATCATTATAAAAAGTTTTAATTTCCCACAAAATAAAGAATAATCTCAACCAATGTTATTACTATAAGTAATATTTAAAATTAATGATTCACATCGATAATTATACTGAGAATATTATATCCATTGTTTGCGTAATATTTTTTTGTAATTGGTATTTCAATGAAGATTTTTCGAAAATATATCTTTATAAAAATCTTTATTAATTCTCTGACAATGTTTTTAATTACCATCAAAAAGACAATACAACTTATTAAATTTTGTTTTAGTTGGGTGTAATTTTATAAAAGGATTCAAAAATCATCATCGGCTATTAAGTGTTTTTTATAAAACCTCACCAACTAAATCGTTTTAGCTAGTTAAATTAACTCATATTATTTTTATTATCTAATGTTATTACAACTCAACATATTGTATACACAACAATAGACTCAGGACAATCTGTTTGATGTCTTCTCTGCCCCTTTACCTTGTTATTTAATTAAATTATATCTATTCTTTACGCGCACGAGCGATGGCTGGCTCAAGGCTCTGAGTTACGCTGCCATTGTACTGAGAGTTACCATGATGGTTAATTTTTCAGAAGTTTCAGCTTATCATCATCATCTTTAGAGATGATCATAAACATCTTTCTTTGTGGATTATTTCCACAAACATTAATTGTATCTTGATTCTCTCAAGCTACGTATTATATTTAATAGAGTATTGCATTTTGTTTTATCATGATTAATTTTGATACAGATCCTAATGCTTACCGAAATCACAATATATTTTATAATATTAAATCGGCCATAATTATTGATTCATATATAAACAATTCTTAATATTTAACTTTTAATAGGTTCGTGTATGCTCGCGAGTTACCTGAAACAAAAAGACGAGTAAAATTCTAAGTATCTGTTTTTTTTTTTGTATAAATATTGTGAGACAAATTCAGTTCACGAACCGTATATATTATTTGTGTTATAAATCAAAATAATATTAGGTATTATGTGATTTATTTGTATGTGTTTCAATATTCAAACGTTTAATGTATATAACGAGCAGTCTTTAATAATAAAACTGCAATTAACTGCGTCGTTCCCACGATCAACTCTACAATAGGAAAATTTTGTATTGTATCTAGAGAAGCTTGTCGGCATTTATATTATTATTTATTTTAAATTTCGTGTCACGTATAAATAAACAACAATATATAAAATAAAAAATTGATGAAAGTATCTCATGATAAATACTTCTCACTGAATTTAAAATGAAGTTACAGATTAATCAAGACTTCTAAAAATATATAAAAAAAATCGAGACTTAACTGAGCCCTTCGGAGGTGGAACTGTACAGAAACAGAATTATAAATAAACATGTTAATCAAGTACAAAATATATTTTTGTATTTTTAAAACACTTGTTTAAATAAGTGAGGTCAGAGAAGAGATAAGGAGGGAAAGTGGAGCCGTGATTAGAAAACAGGGCGTAAAGCTGTTAAAATATCATTTCAAAGGAAGTCATGAACTCAAAAAACTACTTTACTAGAATTTCTTACGTAATCGTTACCAAGTTCATGTCATGATATTTTACACTACATTTTAAAAATAACCATTAATTATGTAATTTTTATAAGTATATGTGAATACCTATATAATAATATATATGTGATAATATTAATTTAATTTACTGTCATATTTTTCAAATGATTTCGCTCAAACTCTTCATATATGTTACTCTTTTTTGTATACTCATATTTTGTGTAAGATCTTTCTAAAATATCAAAATTTAAACTGACCTTATTCCTTCCAAGATTTATTAGTAAACAAGAACGCTAATTGTTAAACGTTGTAAGAACCGCTCCTTTTGGTTCTTTGCATAATTGTCATTAAAACTTTCGTTACTGGAAAATACGTATTTGGTAATTCTTACATATGTATCATCCACTTAGAGAACAATAGGGTTTGGTGTTTATGTTGGCCTGTAATTAATCCATCATTATGTAACGAATATATACAGATAGATTACCTTTAATTTATACATATATGAGTATATATGGATTTACTTAAAACGTTATGTTAGAAAGACTGATTATAAAAATGTCTACAGCCATTGATTCGACATTTCTTTTCAATTAAGATCCTTTATATTTGGACAACATGAGGTATAAATCAGGGGAGACAAAACAGTACTTAAAAATAATTAAATTTGTATTCATACGAGCTTCTTGACATATGCGTTATCATAACCTGCGATGCTAGTAGCAAGGTCTTCTTTGCTTTATGCTTAGAGTTAAGAACAAAGCTAATTCACACGGCCCCGGCTTGCATCGCCACTGAACAGTTGTTGACGCGAGCTCACTGAAGCACCACGCACCATTGACTGCTGATCTTCGAATTCACAACATTTAGGGCCAGCTAATCATGGCCTGTGCTATAGGACGGATACTTATAAGAACTATATTTCAATTTACAATAGTTCATATTTTATACGCTGATCCTCAACTAGATCTTCCACAACTGCCTCAAGTATCTTCACAGCGTAGTCCTTATGGCTATGGATTTTCCAGTACACAGTCCAATTTACCCGCGAGCCAGTTTGATTTAAATCGTAATTTTCAATACAGTACCGCTAGAGCTCCAAGTAGTGTCACTCCAGGCGTTTATCCAGTTTCTTCTACCACCCATCAGATAAACCCAGACATAAATAACAATGGATATCCCAGTTTAGATTACGGGAACGGACGGAATCCAAGTTCCACTCTACGTCCATTTGATGATAGAAATCGTGATGATAGAATTGACATCACGAATGATGCGAACTTTCGTCGGAATGATCCTAATTTCGCAAGAAACGATCCTAGCTATGTTGGAACCAACCCGTATAATTTCAACGGTGATGTGAACTCTAATCGTATAGACGAAAGGTTCAATCACGCCAGCTTGCAACAAATTAAGGATTTTCTTCATCAAGCTGATGCCCAGGCTTCTAAGGAGTGTACGAACAATGTAGCAGCTCAATGGAATTTTGAAACCGATGTTAATGATGCAACTCAGCATGCTGCGGTGAGTAATTATTATTTTCTTTATAAGTAATTGATATTTTACACGAACTTATAGTAATAGTAAAGTTTTTTTAGTGCTCTTCTCATCCTTAGATAATAGAGGGAGGGGATGTCTTTTAAATATTCAATAAACTATAAAAAATCACCTAACTATGATATCAGTTTTTCAGGTTAAGGTTATAACGATTTTGATATGTGCAAAAATAGTTTTTTCATTTCGAATGGAATAAATAATGAAATATGACAAATTTTCAATAATGAAAAATGACAAACGGTTTCAGGTTTTACATAGAACCTGAAACCGATTAACCATTTTATTTCAACAATTTCATAATCAGCAATAATAAAAAAGAAATGTTTTATAAACCAACATAAATTTGAACGTGGATAGTTAATGAAGACTTTTTATAAGTATTTATTTTACTTAGGGCCTTCAGATATTTCTTTCGTAAAAAATAAACAAAAAATACAATATCTTATAAATTCTTTTCAGATCTCGAAAAAAATTTATAGTTTGTCCGGTTTGTTTTAGATTGTTATCGGATATACAATGTAAAAATCTCAACAATAAAATTTTATGAAAATAACGCTATCCGTGAGAACCTAAGAGTTATGTTTTCCTGAACCGCGAAATCTGTTAAAAAATATTCACTGATATTAGATGTTTTATTAAAAAGTAAAATACGGAGATGTTTTAGTTAAGTAACAATTTTGACATAATAAAAAGCGCATATCTATTCGTTGATATCCAATAAACCAAAATCTCTTGAACTTTAAGCTTAGTTCTTACTGAAATATTTATATTAAAATCGAACAATTATAATGTACATAATAATAAATGACGTTTTATCCTATTATATTAGACGAGTGGAAAAAGCAGAATTATTACTATATATACTTTAATCAGTATAAAAATATACATAAACTAAATATATATACATATATAGTTTTCTTTTTCTTTACAATCATTATGGAGTTATTTTAGGACCATATTTCATCATCGCATATTTTTTAAGAAACTTAACAGGGTACCAACAAGTTGTTTTTAAGATACAATCTATATCTTTTACAAATCGTATCCTTAAAAAAACCTTTTTTCGTCCTGTATTAAAGTATGTGAAAAAAAATATTCCTTTTTATGACCAGGTGTAATTTATAAACAATTTTTCATCATTATCATTTTAAAACGGAACACATATTTATATATCTTCATAGTAAATTTATGTCATGACTAAAAACACAACCAATAATCCTCAAAGGAAAATAAATACAACACATGAAATGAAGAATATATTAAAAATATGCATAAGACATACATTTTAAACAATAGTAGGAAAAATATTTTTCATTTTGAATACAAACAACACCTGGAAATTATAGATAAGTGATATCATATCTGTCGTATTGAAAAGTCGGAGGCCTGTCAAGAGAATTTCATGAAGAAATTCTTATCCATTGTAATCTATTTCATTGTTGCTGTGGGAATCTTTACCAGGTGCTTTCTTTACCTGTGTCTATATTGTACTATGTCTATCACAAAGTCAATTGGACTATCGTTGAATGAATCTTTAGTTTGGTTTTATACCAATATGTGTTCATAACCATTATAAATGCTCGTTAGTACGAAAAAACGGACAAAAAAAGCGTGAAACTCAAAAGTTACTTCAGTCTTATTCGATTAAAAAGATAATAAAATAAAGTATTCCTGTTGAATGTTTTATAAGTAAAAATATACGTATAATTGAGTCTATATGCTCACAAATATGAATAGATGATTAGTTAGTTACGGTTTTCTATGATAATTATTAAGAGACCAGTCATCTAGGAAGTCATTTGCATAGTTATATAAGTCATGACTTGATATGGAACATATTTCTCACGGTTAATTCATTATTATATATCTGTATACACCTATGCTTTATGTTTTTAATATTAACATGAATATTAATGATTGTTTTTTTTGCTATACGAGGAAACAAAAGTTCTTAGAATGCAACAAAGATTAATTGTTTAACGAATACACAGAAGATTGATGTTTAAAAACTTAATTTAATTTAACAAAGTCCTTTACGCGTGTAATCATTGTGAGGCACTCAGTCATCACAGGCATAAAAATAACTTAATGAGACTATCGCGAATATTCATTTAAATGAAACATATTTTTCGGATATACTATGGGTGCTTTATTTTTGTAAAAACTACATACTCCCGACGTTTCAGCTACTATTCAGCAACCATGATCACAGGTAGACGAGATGTGAGTGTCCGTCAGTTGGTTTTGTTGTTTATCATCTACCGCCATCGATTTCTTAATTTTCTAGCATACCACTCTGGATGGCGGCAAAAATGACTTCCAAGTTAAAACAACAGAATCAAAATCGGTTTATCCGTTTGAGAGCTATGATGCCACAGACTTTATTGACACATAGACAGACAGACACACACGTTAAACTTATAACACCACTCCTTGTGCGTGGGGGTTTAAAAAGAATAGTTTTAGTCTTTACTTTGAAAAATATATTAAAAACCGAAAGTAACATATATATCGAATAAAAATTGCATGTTTTTTTAAGTTTTATGAAATTATACAATATAATAGAAGTTTATTAATATTTATGTTATATTAATTTTTATTTTGTCATATATGATCGTCAAATATCACGTCCTCAAGTATCGATAGTAATTCACCAGTCACCCTGTATACTTTTTATATTAGGAATTACGATATCGGGACTCAATGTTAATAAAATTGCAGAAAAGGCAACGAAATGCACAGTCTCTAATGCCATAGTTCCGGCATCAATTCTTTCAAATCGGCACAAAAGATAGGAAATACGAAATAACGCTAGCGCAGAACAAATGGTGGAACTAAATCACATCCTCAATAATATTGTCCGATATAAGGGCATGACCTAAATGGTCAGACAATGTTATAATAAAATAGTCCTGGGGTTTTATTGTTCTCGAGGTTGATACGTAATAACAGATCATTATGTATAAAGACATTTAATTTGCAATAAATTATTATTGTGTGATTTCGACTTAAGATATACTCCAAAAATGTATCGATAAATCCTTATCAGAATGCATTTTAAAAGTGATAGAGAGTAGCGGTGGTCAAGTTACTACAACTCGAACATAGACTGGCTCGTCCGGGAAAGTACCACACTCTTGTAGAATATCGCCGTGGAGTAGTATTTTCCCTTTTTACACCCTTATCCCTTCTTTTTCTGCAACATAGGGATGTCAATGGCTGATGGTTATTATCTTCCATTAGGAAGGCCGCCTACTCCTTACCCCTTTTGCTTTAAAAAAAATACTCTTCATAATTTTTAACAATTACAAACTTGATTCAAATGAGAATAGAATATGATTTGTAAGTCAGACTTATGATGTGTAAGTTTATATGAAAATTATTGGATTAATTTTTATGTAATATATACGATGAAAATAAACATAAGGCAATTTTTTTTACATCTTTTATACAGACTTCGTAATCACTTCTTAATACAACTTATCTTAAATTTTGAATCTGAATAACAATATATATTATTAAAAAAATCATCTATAAGGCCAATTTATTGACAAAAAAAAATGCGGTCACCCAGATAAGTGGGCTGTAAAAAAAGAGCACAATCAAATAAAAGCTGGACGTGACCAGAATTTACCACGTATTCAAGAAGTATTATAAATGAAGGTTGAATTTTTACAATAAGAAGAAGCAAAAAGTATGATTATCATAATGCTTCAGTTATTCTTTGTATCGCTATTACATTTGTTTTCAAACGTATTAATGTCTATTTCAGTTTATTTAAACGTACTACTTTTCAGTATGTAACGTTTACAAATTATTATTTAAGAATATAATAACAAATGAATAAATTACTTAGTAAAATTAAATAATTGTTCATCAAGATCTGAATTAGAAATAATATTATATAATATAGTTTAATGATGTGGTTGTGACATTAAAATTGTATTGTCACATTAAAAGAACTCTCAAATTTAAGATACCTTCGCCTTGTAAGCTATTCTCACGGTCATGACACTGAATTTTTTTATTTTATTTTACTTTATATATAATCTATATTTTTTGTATAGTTTCATAGCATACATTAAACTTAAAGAATATTAGGACTAATCAAACAATAGGAAACCTTGAGCAATATGTAAATAAAATACCTATTTTACATATTTTTTCGTATGCTTTCAACTGATAAGAATGTTTACTCTGTGCATTATTTCACACAGCCCACGTTGTTTCAGTGTTAATTGATGACAGTACGAAAACCTGACCTTACTTTGTTCATCGTTTTAACAGATTCGATCTAATAAACTATAGCCTCTGTATTACAAGGTGTTAAGGTTGATTTTCGTCAAGTAATCTCATATGTTATATAAAGAGACAATTGTGTCACTGTTAAAAGGTTTTCATTGCTATTTTTAACACTGTTGCATTTGGTTGTACTTTTGTTTGTAAACTTGAACTAGTTTCGTTATGAATGAAGTAAAAAAAATCTCGGTTCTGTCTACAACATTGTTTTATCTACTAGAATCGTTTAATATCAAACCCATAAAAATTATAAAGAATCTGTTTGCAGAAAGGAATTTTAACTTATATCTATAATAATTCTAATGTGTTGATCGTTATAAGATACATACTTAAAATAAAGATAGTCCTATTTAAAAAACTCATTCTTAAGGTAACAAAAGAGAAGCTCTCTTCAATACGTATTTGGATTTTCTATAAAATACTTAAAGAAGACTTTTAAATATATTTTAGTGCATTTCTATATTCGAATGACGATTTAAGATATTTTAAAATACTTTATTAAATTTAAGTACGGGTCAACAGTACACCTTAATATTTCTAGTACAGCCTACGAGTATTTTAGACAGTTATTTTCAACAGACGTTAGTTGTAAGCCATAGTGTCTTTTTCCCTTAACATTCTCATAATATTTGTCAACGGGTAGTTACGGCATGATTGCGAAACCGACGTGCGAATGTCCTCCAGCCACAATGAGATGTGTGTGAAATAATGAATTGGCATTGAAGTTACGTCAGGGGTTTGAGTCTCAGTTTTGTCGTATAGTTGAAAAGCAAATAAATAGGTAATGCTTGATTAAGTAAGGTTAATTGAAACTGATAATTGTCTTACTTTAAACCAAGGCCTTGAAGAGCCTATAGCCTTGGTTACGGCTTTTATATGAAATTAACTTGCACTTTAAATAGTTCATTTTTTTCAGACCATACCAAATAATTGAATGATTTTCTCGTGTCCTTTAAATGCTCAATCCACTTTTCAAGGGCTCTAGTTTATCTCAGTTCAATGATTTTCCTTTTAGTCTTGACATATTTATTGTAATAATACGTAATTGTAATAAGTTTTTCAAGTGCAAAGTTTATTATCGTGGGAATGTATATGACTTTATTATGTATTTGACTTTATTATGGCATGTTATGGAACATTCATGTACATTTTTTATTTTTTTTAGAATTTTAATTTTCAATAGTTATATGCTCAAACTTCATCTTATCTTTCTTCCTATTTTTATCACTTACTTAATTTTGTGTGAGAGATATTTTGCCAAGAACCACTTTAATTTCGTGACATTTTATACATTAAATGCAGTAGGTTTATTTCCAACAGATAGCTTTTAACTTTTCAATCTAACGATCTAAACATTTCTCAACCGTTACTCTGAAGATGAAGATTCTATGTAACGTTTTCATCACAAAATAGTTGCGATTATGTAAACAAATAGTAACGCATGACTAGTTAAGTAAGTGAACTATAGTAAAGTCATTGTGATCAAAGTTTAGAGGTCGCTGTTAATGAATTAAAGTTATTTGATTTAACAATACGAGGATTTTAATTAACCTGACATTGGTTTACAGATTGAGATTTTTTAAAGATTTTTTATGAGTTCAATTGTATAATAATGAACTGGAATGAAAAGTCATCTTCAAATAAAAAGAAGAGTCAATTTATTAAATGGAATCAATGTATTAATTAAAGAAATTGAATTTTGAGAAAGTTGGGTCCAAGCAACGTCTGTAGAATTTCCATATATTTATCATGAAATATCATGCCTATATACGAAATATATGTTACAGATATTTTTCTCAATTTAGTCGAATAGCAAACTATGGTTATGTGAAAAATTAAACATTTACGGTTACGAAAAATATAAAATATGCAATCTAAATTCATTTTCATGACATCCGAGATAAAAATGTTTAGCTTTTTATTGTCAACAAGTGACCGTACAAATCAAATGACATCAAGCAAAAACAATGAAATTACAGGTTCTTATGGTGGAAAATTACATGACTAAGATAGCGTGATGTAGTGGATGATGGCTATTTGTCATGTCTTATGACTCAACAGGTTAAGTTATATCATGGGTTACAATCTTGTTTTATAATTATACATTTATTCTGAGAAAGATTCAAATGTGAACTTCTTTTTGATACTATTATTTGGAACGTTAATTGTTGAGTATAATGATAAGTGTAAATCATCATTAAAGAGCTTCCTTATGCTGTGTTTAAGAGTCAATCAACAGAGCATTGTATGCCCATTATCCTTGGAAGTTCAAAATAATCAGAATAGGATGCTTAGAAACTATGCAAATCCATACTAAATATGGTCCCTCCAAATGGCTGTTCTTGTACGTGCATGACGACACTTATGTTTGATCATTGACCATGGACCATAAACCATTATGACAGGTTATAAGGACAATTCAATTTAACGATGTTTGGAAATATTATTTAAAAAAATATTCCTTCAATTGTAAAAAGAATCCATCCAAATTCAACAAAACGTTTATTTCATGCATTGATACATATTTTTATGACTAAATAAAAAACAATGTAGATAAATGAAAATATCTTTAATATTTATATCAAAGATTTTGACGTCTGTACGTTTGAACGAAACAAGTTTTTCCAAACTACCCGTTTTTTTTTAAACGATAATATTCCAACGTTTCAATTCCTTTACAGTGACAGACACGTTTTATCCGCAAAACTTAATTCCCTTTAAATCTTTAATAGTACATATTTGCTTTCTGTAAATCTCAGTCTAATATATATCGGATTTATTACACATTCGTAGTTTTTAAAGAGAGGGACGCCAGCCTCGCTGACGTTACAAATGTCACTTCTTCTAGTACGGTCCATGATATTTTAAAATGAAACTTCAATTGTTCTTAATGCTCCTGTATTTCTCAAAGATTCTTCATAATAACATACTTCAATGATACACACTCACTGAACTCTGAATTATCAATCCCGGAGTCTCAATTCTGCCGTCGTGCATCCAGACGTCATATTTATAACAAGATTTAAACATAGTTCTATTCTCCTTTTAAGCAACCTTTGATTTCGTTTTACTTTTAACAATAATCATAAATACTAATGAGTTTTAATAAGAATTGATGACAGCCTCAAATTATTTTCAAGTCGCATCCGTTATTCAAGCTGATAGCGCCGATATATACCTTTTATGTCATGTATCTTATTATTTATCTGTTTCATTACAGTTGGAAGCACAGCAGCGCTACACGTTATTCCAGCGAGGGTTATGGGAAGCTGCTCAGGGTTTGCCCCGAGGAACGATTAGGGACTTTTCTACCTTCAGACAACTGAAGTTACTCTCCACCATCGGACCTGCAGCTCTGCCACCAGATCAATTGGACAGGGTTAGTTAATATTATTTTGCTGCATAACAAAATCTATATTCTTTATTAGCAAGATCTTTAAGATTACAGAGCTTAAAAATTGAAAATATTAAGAATGAGAATTGAGTATTGAGTTAGTTTTAACAAACCTTATGATACTATAAGATTGCTTTTTTTTGTATCTGATAATTGATTGTTTATACTAGATCAAAGATTTTATTCGTACCTTCATTTATTTTTCGTTTACACTAAAGAACACTTTATTGTGTCATATAGATGATGTAACCATATTTCTTAGTCATTTAAACTAAATATACGTATGTTTAACGTTAATGGTATACTTTTTGATTTATTATAGTTATCACGACCCATTTTATTAAGCTTCTTAGAATTTTATTGCTACATCTAAACATGAGGATTTGTTTGTTAATATGACAGTCATTACATTTAAAGTTTGTCTAAATCTGCTAAAAAAATATCACAACATAAGTAATAATAAAAAGAACTTTATTTATGATTTATGACTTTGATAATAAATGTCTTGATTTTTTGTTACAGTATAACAGAATCATTAACGATATGCTGGCTGTCTACAACTCAGCAGAGATCTGCGCCTATAATGAACCCTTCAAGTGCGGACTTCATCTCCAGCCAGACCTGCAGTTCATCATGTCACATTCCAGAGACTGGGATGAGTTACAGCACGTCTGGACAGAATGGAGGAGGAATACTGGAAGACGGATTAGAGATTTGTACGAACAGTTGGTCGATCTCACCAATCAAGCTGCAAGGTTGAATAGTAAGTTCATCCTACGAAAAAAATGAAGCAATTGATAAAGTTGAAGTTGTTGCTATTTTATTGGACACATAAGTCTATTATAACTGCTAAGTTTTTATATTTCGTTTGTATGTTTTCTGCTCAGATTTCACTGATGCTTCTGCTTATTGGATGTTCCCATACGAGACTTTCAATATGAGACAAGAAGTGGACGATGTTTGGGAACAGGTATGATTCTTAAGACACTCGTAATTTGCTTTTTATATATCTTTGTACACTTCTATATCCCTACTAATATTATAAATGCGAAAGTTACTCTGTCTGTCTGTCTGTTACGCTTTCACGCCTAAACTACTGAACTGATTTTAATGAAATTTGGTACAGAGATAGAGTTGACATTGAGAAAGAACATAGGATAGTTTTCATCCCAGATTTTTGAAAAGTTCATTTGGGAACGCGATATAACCGAACACCACGCGGACCAAGCTGCGCGCGGAAAGCTAGTATAAAATTAAGTCTTTCTTCAAATATCTTACAAGTAAATTTGTATACATTTTTTCAGGTTAAGCCACTCTATGATGTACTACACGCCTACGTCCGTCGTCGTCTTCGTGAAGCGTATGGACCTGAAAGAATCTCAAGATCCGCACCTATCCCAGCGCATGTACTCGGTGATATGTGGGGACAGAGCTGGTCTGGGATAGTTCCCTTCACTCTACCATATCCCGGGAAAAAACTCGTCGATGTCACCCCCGAAATGGTTCAACAGGTGATGAGTGACTTTCTTGAACTAGACTATGAACATGTATATTTGGAATAAAAAGGTGACAATGCCATGATTTGTTAGATGAATAAAATAACCTTTTTTTATCTAGGGCTATACACCCCTTACGATTTTCCAACTGGCGGAGGAGTTCTATGTGTCTATGAATATGTCTGCGATGCCTCCAGATTTCTGGGCGTTAAGCGTGTTTGAACAGCCCGCTGACCGACACGTACACTGTCAGCCGTCTGCTTGGGACTTTTGTAATGGACATGATTATAGGTCAGTACTCTCTTCTGTCAAAAATAGTATGATATACACTGCAATATACTATCATAATGGAAAAACATAATATTAATTTAGAGACATTAGATATATTGCATTATGAACCAAATCAATTATTTAATATTTCAGAATAAAGATGTGCACTCATCCAGACCAAAAAGATTTGATAACCGCTCACCACGAGATGGCACACATAGAATATTTCCTGTCATACAGAAATCAACCGAAAGTCTTCCGTGACGGAGCCAACCCAGGTATTTTAATGTTAAAATAAAACTGCTTGCTTATCGGACTGAAAATAATTTATTTAACTGGTTATAGGTAGGTTCTGTTTATTACTCATAAACATGGCAGTTAAAACTAATAATAAATAACATTATGATTATGATTATAACAATAAACATGTACGAACACTTTCGGTGTATCAAGCGAGAATATATTTAATAATATAAGGTGCTGCAATTATTGTGAACAGCGCCATCTGTTGTTCGGGTTTGACGGCTGCGTTACATAGATCTGTATCGCAGGAACAATAAGTGGTGTAGACTTCACCGTTGCCCGTCTGTTTTTTACAAGTGTGTTCACCGTTATCTTCTTCCAAAAATCCACATTGCCTCACGATTCTCACCTTGCCATAAACTGCAAATAGAAAATTGTTTAAATTTATATCGTTTCGAAAGTTACTCACATAGTAATAATTTTGCAAATATAAAATCAAACCCACAATTCATTCACAAAACGAAACTTTTCTGAATAAGAAAATTATGGTTTTATACAAATAATTATCATCTCATTGTATACTAATATTAAGTAAGATACGATTACAAATATAGCAAATAAAACTGTATGGGTAAATTTTGCAAGCGTTTTCTTAACTAGGAAGCAACATAATTCTTATAACAGTTTACGGTTGCCAAATGGTTTAAGAATCTGTCAAGACATTTGTAAATTCTTTGAAATTTTTAGCTTTTATTTTTTATCATGGTTCAGGAATACAAATAGTCCCTATTATATGAAAATAGTCCCTATTTTTCCTTTAAATTAAAGGTAAAAGAAATGAGAATACTTACATTGAGTGAATTTTAACCTTTTACCTTCAATCGGTAAAGAGCCTTACATATTAATAATGTGTATATAATTATAATTATATAATTACTCAATTAAGATTATTATTGGATTTGAGGATTATTTTTCACCAAAAAGGCCATATCTCGATAGTTTTGAACGAAAAGAAAGTGGTTGTGATAAGGAAATAATAGGGAAAAGTTTTGACGAGTTCAATAAAATTAACAATTATTATGTGAAAAGAAATATCTTTTAAGAAGAATTTATAAAAAAATATAATGGTATTTGGTTCTATAAATAATATTTTACAATAAGGCCGGGGTATGTGGCTGTTTACGGTGTACATTTTTTACTATTATTTTTATCGCCTTACATCAGTCAATAATATTTTTCTTCAAGTTCTAAATTAGAAAATACAATCTCCTTTAAATTAATATTTTTTAAGGTGCGACTAATAAAACTAATCCGATTAATGTTATACAGAGCTAGTAGTTAAAAATTTTTGGGTGTGCTTAGCTTCTTTCCTTATTATAAAAACATGATACTATATCAATTCAATATTTATCAATGAAGATTTTTGACGTTTAGTACAATCGATTCTTAGTTTCTTTTAATAAAATTATCTTGCCTTAAAGTTTATATTACTTTTCATTCAGGATTCATAATTTCTTCCCCTTGCAAATTTATTACGACTTTATAAAAAAGGAACATTAATACAGAAATGAATCTTAAACTAGATTTAAGACTAGGTGTAACAAAATACTTCGATCATTTATTTGGTATCAACTAAACAACTTACTCTCCATCTTAATGACCCTACAGAAGGTTGGTTCCACGTGTTCCACGATATGTTCTGGAGGGTCCCTCAGAGAACAGTTCACGACTCCTAAACTGAAAGGGTCGAAGTTCTCTCCGCAGCGTGGATCGAACGCACTGTTACAGTCGTAACAAAATATTGATGAGGCTGAAAATTGATTTTAATTAGTATTCACCTATCAAAGACTCCATAATAATTCACTACCACAAAACTACAGCTATTTTCTCTTGAAAATTATGAAAAATTTTGGATGTTCTGCAACCAAATTCTAATGTGCAACCCTTTGAATTTGATCTCTGAGGGGAATAAATACACGTTATTACTATGAAACTGTAGATTCATTTAATAAAACAAACGTTTACTAGATCAGCTGATTAATAAATTGTCAAACCGCGGACACATTAGAAGGGAAACCTTACATTCACTTATTGGATTATGTTGTGAACTTGGCTTATATTCTGCGCGATTTGGAAGGACACAGCGTTTAATTTAATATTAATACTTTATAAAATTTGTTATATATTAATTTTAATTATATTATTGAAATCTATTTAAATACATGTTTTATATAAAATTGTTAAGTTCATCTTAGCTTTCGATGTAATTTTAAGTATATCTGTATCCATGGACCAATTAGCGCATATTAAAATTATATTTAACAAATAATTTTAGAAGTGAGATGAAATTATTTCAAGTAATTTTAAAATTAATAATGACTTTATAATTTATAAATATTCGTATAAGAGAGAGCAATACAAAATATACTCTAAATAAGATAATTTTCAATCGTATAAAATTTACAAATATAACAATATTTATAGCAGTATCAAAAAAAGCCGTTAGAAATTTTACAATATTGATATTAATCTATTTATGTTTTATAATTTGGTTACAGCACTTACCATATTTGAAGCACAATACCGTAGATATAATTCCCAATATTTTTATATTAAGTATCATCGTTGACAGCTACATATAAGCCAGAGGGTGAACATGTAACTGAGTTGCCACCACGACTCACTCACTAATTTAATTTACGCCAACGTCATGTTCCAGTAATGAGTGATACGTAAAAAAATTCTTTATTTTAGTAGTATTAATGTTATATTAAGATTTACACTTCTTGATCTTCCTGATCATCTATAAATATTTTTTCATTTTTATTTACACCACTTTAAGGGAAACTAGAGATAAGCAATTTTAAACTTTAGCTGGTACTTATTTAACCAAACCTATAGTGTATTTACCATTGCGGTCACTGAAAACGAAACGAAATTTTTAACGAAAATCAAAATAACATATTTTTATGTTGGGAAAATTTTTATAAAACGTTTAAAAAATTATTAACAACATTCTTTCTTATTTTAATTTGAATCTTCTGGCGAAAAAGAGTATGTAGGGTTTAAAAATAAAAAAATTGTGTAAATGATTTTTGCAGCAACAATAGGTACTCTTGAAAATAATTACATATTTATGACACAAAAATAATACATAAATATACTAGCGGCCCGGTACGTGCTTCGCTACGTATAAAGTGAAATAAAATAAACAAATCGGAACTGCACAACGTTGATCTAATTCACGATTTTCATCACCAATAAAATAAATTTGCAAAAATTGATGATCAGCGTCGGGGTATGGCAATAACGAACCAGCTTGATGATAAATCTGGCCCTGAATCTGTAACATGTATACAATTTTAGGTAAATCTTATATCAGTTTTTTTTAAAATATACTTTATGCTTCAGATTGATACAAACATGGAATAATCCTGTTGAAGTATTTACCTTAAACGTCGGCATAAAATTATCTCTAATAATTTTAGTTGCACCAAAAGAAGTCATTTGAAATGCCGAATTGTATTGTTGAATATGACTCAGAAAGTGCTTCGACGCTTGCGATGTCCCAAAAATAAATGAATACAATGGTTCGGGTGGAGTTTCTAATGCTGGCAATCTCACTTTGCCATTAGCACAACACATGCCGGGTGTTTCACCTCGAAAGTTAGCCGCATCACAATGTGGACATATTGCGTCCATCATTCCAATGTATCCATACATACTATAATCAATCTGACTGTTGTAATTAAAAGCAGCACGCATCATTTCAGCCAAAACAGCACGACGTATTCGTGATGGCCGTGCAAGATTCAGTACAGGTACTGGGTTAACAAATCTATTGCGTGCATTACGTTCACGCTGCGATGCATTAGCTTGTGCGCGTTCATCTGCAGTCTGTGATCGTCTTAGTAATGCCACATCATTTGCATTACGCGTTCGCCGACCTATATTTGCTCGTCTGGCTGGTGGTATTTTTCCCGTATGCACATATGTTTTCGCTTAAAAATCGAAAAAAAAAAATTAGAACAAAAAAAAAAACAAATTCCCAAGAAGCTGTCGCATATGATGCCATGTGAAATCATATACGGCAACTTAGAAAAGTATACATAAAGTCAGGACTCACCGTTTGTATGAATGCACTGCAAATGCAATTATGTGAAAAGAAATTTATCGCTGACTAGTTTTTGCCCGCGACTTCGTCCGCGTTAGTTTGGTCAAGAGTAATATATGTAGGTATAGCTGACCAGGCGAACTCTATTCTCTCGTAGAGGCCATAAATAATCAGGTTTTTCCTGTTTCAATCAAACAGAATGATTGACATATTAGTTAGTTGTCAAATCTAATGTCAAAAAAACGTTTGTATGGGAAATAGAAAAGGGATGTTTTTAAAATTTCCCGGCAATTATTCCCATTTTTCTCACCTTTTAAACCTTCCCTGGACTTCCAGGAGGATTTCAAAACTAAAATTAGCCAAATCTGTTCAGCCTTTCTCGAGTTTTAGCGAGACCAAGGAACAGCAATCCATTTTTATATATATAGAAGACTAGAAGACCTGGCGAACTTCGTATCGCCCTATAATCAAGAAATATCTATTACGTTTTTTTATTTATATTTTTGGAGTTTACCTGTAAGCCATAAATCTCCGTGTTTTGATAATATGATTTAATCAAACCACGTCCAAAATGAATTGACGGCATGAATGACATAACAACGTGCTTGTCCTGTCAACAAAACTTAAAAAAAGTTTCTGTGAAAAAAGTTTCTATTGAATTCATTTATTACAAAAAATGTGACAAATGAGGAACCGCTCGACCGATTTTGTGCAAACTTCACATAAACCATCTACTAAATATGCCGACCAAATCCTAAGCATTTGGTTTGGATAGGTGAGCCCGTTCTTGAGTTATGGAATTACAACGAAAAGTGGCATTGATTTTTATATATATAGATATGTATATTAAAATTTTATTACAATATGTTTCATTTTGTACTTTTTTGGACTTGGACTTTTTCCCTAGTCATTTTAATATTTTCCTCTCACTAAGTTATTTAAGTATAAGAGAGTAGTTATAGCAATGAGACCTTTTTTGCATATTTTTTTTGTCTTTATTCGGTTCTCGAAAGTACATATAAATATGTAATATATACCATTTTATCCCAGAAACGTTTTAATCAATTCAGAGAATATATTTATACTGGTCTTCCGCAATGTTTATTTCATGAGTTTGACTATATACATAAATGGAGCCGCAAGAAAGCTCTCAATATTTTTCATTGCATAAGCTGTGAATTTCGGATAAATTGCATATATTGAACTTGAATACAATGTTAGAATAATCGCAAGGATCTGTTCTCTTCTTCTTAGGAAGCTAAAATATGAAACTTTATTTTACATATGTATTAATTATTATAAGACGTGTTATAGTCGAAATATTTGAGTTAAAGTGAAAAGTGGTACGATATATCCGACTAAGACATTTCTTAAACAAAAGCAAATATCCGGCATAAACTCAAAACTTAGACACGCAACAAAAACCCCCAATAATCTAGTATACAATTGTGGAATAATAAAAAAAAACTAAATAACTATAGCTTACCTTGATTACGAGTTATCTCCTTACGAATGTACGACAATATTTATATTAATTCCTACAAAAACTGTTTTTCTTTTATTACTTGCACAGTTGTTAACTCACGTCGATTAAAACTAGTAGGTGAAGAGGGATGGTGCAGGGCCACGATTTGGCGTTGTCAGTGTAGAAAAAAATATTCATTAAATGGGAAATTTAGAAGTGGTACGATTTAAATGCTAGTACGATATAACCAACTCTCCCCTATGTAGGTTAATAAGGAAATTAAAATTTACTAGCTGGACTTCTTGCTACATCAATATGAGCAATAGAAACATATAGGAATATTAGTATTCCTTCAATTCTAGAATCTGATCTGATCGTCTCTGATCTATTGTTAAAATGATGTTGAAATCAAGACATCAAGTTAGGCATTTGTTGCAATTGTCACTAGTGATATATCATGGTTCTGCTTATGTTTCTCAGTGTTCCATTCTTGATGATTTTTATTGGTTATATTATATTAATTTAATACTTTAAATAGAATATTAAACTCACGTATATATAAGCATTTATAATGAATTATACATGTATATTTAAAATTTATATATTATTCTTTCTTTCTTTCTTATATTTCTGCATATATATATATGTTATATCACATTAAGCCGAGTCGTTAAGGTTTCATTGGTTTCATTGTAACCGAACACATTTTCCTTACAGTATTAACATTTAAAAGAATTTATCAATTTTACAACGTGAATTCATTCGTTTTCATTTCACATAAATGAAATTTTTTTCATTTATGTTACTTAATATTAATTTTATATAAAAATATAGTTTCCCTATGTTTATTTCTATTTGCATCGATGATTCTAACACATTTTGACTAATTTATGTTTTTGACAATATTTTTAACTTTAACCTTAACCGTAATAAATTCACGTCCCCTCATAGGAGGCACATTTAAAATACATATCATAAAATTACTGCTATATATATATATATATATATATATATATGTATATGTATATATATATACATATATCTAGTACTAGTTGGGTCAAGTCTAAGAGATTTGTTAACAATAAGTATATAAACATTTTAGTGTCATCATTGAGGTTACTTTCATCGCTGAAGAAAGTTGTTACTGATTGAAAGTTTTAATATCATTGCTTTTTGCTATTACAAAAGAGGATATTACACGATTACACGATGTTTAATCATCACATCAAGGTATATATATATATATATATATAATTTATAAAGTTTAATTCTAAACAACATTTATACATAATTCTTATTTTTTTATGTTATTGCATATCATACTTACACGATTTATTAAACTAATTGACCTATATAATGGTTTATATTTTTTGTAATCAATAATTTTAAATCTGGAAGGTAACTATATTGTTCTAGTATTCATGATGTTTCAAAGGCTTTTATTGTCGGGTTATTTTTTTTAATTTAAAACAATTTAGAACCTTCTAAGATTACAACAATTTTCCAAAAGAATTTGTTCGGGTATTTTAACATGAAGTGTATTATGAGCAATCCTTATATTAAGGAAAAACAGCATATACGGTGGAATTGACAAACCTCCTCCTTTTTAAAGTCGGTAAATATTACTAACAAACCAAGAGGGATATAGATATATTGCCTAAATTTCCGTACGGTTCAAATATTAATAATAATATATTTTAATAACTCTCAATTCTTTATGTATAAATGTTTATTTATTTATTTTTAAAACGTAAAGATTTATACATTTACTACAATAACTATTTGTTATACAATTGAAATTGAGTACAATTTGAGAAACAAAAGCCTAGATTTACAAAGAACCCATATGTTACATAACCAAAGGTGTCATGTCAAAACTTTAAATAAGAACTGTGTTCTGACTTAAGCAACTGATAAATAATTAAGTTCATAGTGAAACACGAAAATATCATTCCAGATACATTAAGATGTAATGTATATTAAGAGAATATTAATATTAACTTATTTAATAATATACAAACACATCTTAGTGTTACACGTAGAATAGAATATTTACAGGAATTATGACTTTACAACGCTCTTATGTAAACTCATAACAAATATATATATTATGTATGCGGCATTGTTAAAGAATTAATTCTTTTAAATGATATTTCATGTCAATTATATACAAATCTCTTTTTAGAAAAAAATCATATTTTTACATAGACAATAAGAAATAGATTGTTAATAAGAATACTTAAAATAAAAATAATACATAATTGAACTGTGAAGTGGTATTAATAATTAATTTATTAAAAATGCCGCATCCATTTATCCAAGTTTCTATGTTCCGGTCGTGAAGCGGGTCAAGTTTACGCATGAAGTAATCGTCGGTGGAATCACAAACAATGCAGTTTTCACTTTTATTAGAGCATCTGTTTTGAGACCTTATCTAATAGTATTATATACTCGAGTTTAAATTATAAATAATATGTAAAAATAGTTATTAATTAAAGTAATTAATATAAATAATCGAAGAAATACAATTAAAAAAATAATAAATTAACAAAAATAGTATTTAACGCGATGTTTTCATTTAAAATAATTTCTTAAACATAAAACTGAGTACGTTCCACTTCGTGCGATTCTTCCTAGTAGCTTTCACTATCTTGACATCTTAAATTCTGTAAAGCTTTTACATCGGTTGTAAAATAGTGATATAAGTATACGAATAAATAAAGATGACTTTTAGTTTCAATATTACCGATAAATGAATTCATTTAAGAATTCCTAACATTTATAAGACGCAGCAAAATTTTATGAAAAAATTACAGCTAAAACTTCAAAATGATATTTTATTATAAAATATTAGTGTTACTTTTGTAAAGACATATAAAATTATTTCTATATAAAAAGTTAAAAGTATTTTTCTGGTTTATTTCTGTATTTTCTTTCAGTTGATTCAACTCAATAATCTATTACATAAGTAAAATAGGCTCGTAGTTTATCGATAAATAAACGTGATGTCGTATCACGACTACATACATAATTCTTAATAGATGTTATACAAAAACTTGTTATCTTATGAAGGTTGATGGGTTATTTTCTTTTCAGGATTCCACGAAGCGATCGGTGAGGCAATCGCACTTTCCGTGTCATCTCCCCGTCACCTCCAAACCCTGGGTCTCATCCAGAAATCTGTAGATGATACTGCCCATGATACCAATTATCTCTTCACACAGGCGATGGATAAGTTGGCTTTCCTTCCATTCGCACTGGTGATGGATAAATGGCGCTGGGATGTCTTCACCGGCGACGTTAGGAAAGAACAGTACAATTGTCATTGGTGGAGATTAAGGTCAGTAAAAATAAAAGTAATATTGAAAAAATATGTGTATTGAGATCTAAGACTTTTACGAAAATTCATTTTAATGACATAGTCTGCCTGTGATTGCGTTTGTTTCAAAGTAACCGAAAAATAAAATAAAATACGCGTAGTAATCTAAAAATATTAGTTTCATTTAAATATATGTATGTAAGTTCGCTGCATAGTACATTTTCGATATTATGGCTTACATTTTAATACAGACATTCAATATTAATATAGTAAGTTATAGAACAATAATATAGGAAATGAAGTTATAATTAATGAGACCAACGTCTACATTTAAAGTATTTATGCTAACGCACAAGCATAATGAGATATTATATATTAGATAATGAATAATAAAGCGTACGTAATGATTACATGAGGCGTTCGTAGTGTTCGATCGTTAGTGATAGTTAGTGTTACTTCATCTTGCGTCACGAAGTCTATAATACTGTAGTATATTTCAATGAACATAATTTGATTGGATATTTATTTATATGAAAACAACTGAGAATTAGGCATTAAGTATGTCTTTAATTGATTAAATACCTTTTATTTTTGATTAACTGAAATGCAAGTACATTTTCAGAAAACGAAACTAATATTTTTCGGATATACTACGAGTGCAAAATTTTTGTAAAAAACTATAATATACTCCCGACGTTTCGGTTAATTTTGAGTAACCGTGATCACGGACAGACGAGATGTGAAGTAACCAAAACGTCTTGAGTATGGTTTTTTTACAATTATAAAATACGCGTAGTGAATCCGAAAAATATTAGTTTCATTTAAATGAATTCTCGCGAAAGTCTTAGATCTCTTTACATTATCAGTATTTATGATTTATGTGATATATTTTGATGTGAATTGAAAATAATTGACAGTGTTACATATTCACTAAGATCACTATACTAAAATATTTGAAGGAAATCGCCTCTTGACCTGCAAGACCTGTTCAAAGAACTGGTAATGCGAGTAGGATTAACTTACTTTCTTTGATAATTATTATAATGAGACAGTTGTGAATAATAAGTAGGATTAGGAGTTATGAATTGCTTTCATATGATCAAAATATTCAATTCTGACATATTAAAACATGTTTCATGTGATTTCATAAAACTTCACAAAATTTCAATATGGTAATGAAATAATTTCAACTTATTCTTTGAAAATATTGCATCGTAACTTAATTTCGATACTAAACCCGTGATGTATTTAGGAGTAAATTAGATCTAAAATATAAAGTACATTCTATAAGAGAAAAGGAAAGTGTTTCGAAAAGATTCTTTAAGTTCGTTCTAGAATTAGTTAGTGGGAGCCGGAAGGTGTGTTTTGTAATTTAAATGACCTCGAAAACAGCGTGGAACTTTCTTAATCCAACAAAATACTTCCCTTAAAAGATAATATTGATATTTTGAAAACATAAGCGCAAACAATTATTAATATTCTTTTTATTGCAAACGTTTAACATAGTTTCATCTCATAATTACATGTTAGCTCAACTAACATTCGGGCTAAACTATTTGAAGATGCAATCGGGGTCAAGCACCGGCCTTGACCGGAGTTAAAGTTAAGGCGAAAGCGTTTGTATTTGGTCCGAGATGTAGGCGATTTGTTTGAAAATTATTGATTATTTTCTTACGTAACTTGTTTAGTTTTTAACTATATTCATTATAGATTATGAGAATTTCATGATACTTTTCTTTTAATGCAAATTGTTTCGTATCAAAGTTCGACCGTATTTGTTTATTATTTTGAGTGACACGCTGCATCTTAGATTTTGTATATCTCATAACTTTTTACGCTTCTAAATGAAATCGACAACTGCTACGACTGTTTAAATATTACATAAGTTATTGACTAACTAACTGTAACATACAATTAAAATATTTTTTTATTCTTATCGTACATAAAAATGATAAGCATTTACAATTATAAATATAAAATAAATTTGATTCCGTCAGTATCATGCTTTGAAACCATTAATTAATATTGATTACAATGCTTCACCGACACGAACGCTTACGAAATCTTTTCTATAACATGGTTTATATAGTTTATGAAATAAATATTATTCGTTTACAGAGAACAGTACGAGGGTATTAAGCCGCCTGTGCTACGTTCAGAATTGGACTTCGACCCTGGCTCCAAATACCACATACCAGCAAACATTCCCTATATAAGGTAAGACAAAATTATGTATAGACATTGAAATATCAAATATTCCAAGCTTTATTACTATAGCTTTTAATAACATCTGGTTGCAAAACTCGTCTTGCATTGCGTACATTCAAAGAAGTTGCAAATGAGCATAAACGATTATATAATTTAAGTTTCTAATATATTAAACTGACACTGAAAGTAATATAAGCATCTGTAGAATTTAAAAAATATATTAATTAATAAGTTTAATCAAGATCAGAAGCAATGCTTCGGCAAGAACTAGTTTAAAACTGAGGTAAGATACGATACAATGTGTAGATGTAAGTTAACATAGTGTAATAACTACAAACATTAAATATGTAGAGTACGTTCACTTCGAAATAGCTCTTTGTTTTCCAACTCACATACCAAAATAACAATTACGTAAACTAAATTTATTTTAAAACAATACAACATAAAACTATTCGAATCGCTTCAGAGGTAATTTATACTTCCGCATTTTTAATTTTAACATCGCAACAACTTTTGTAAGTTTTACAAATGTTGCTATTGAAAAATTTAAGTTGATCAGAATGTTTGACATTAATCAAATAACTTATACTGTTAAAATGTTGAACTATGTATGTATAACACAGTTCTTATAAAAAGTATCCATTGTTAAAGTTTGCTTCAAGCAGTTACACTTAAGTCTTCTGGATAAGTTAATAATGGTGTAGGTTGACAAAGTGTTTCTAACAACGACGGATTAACTACGTTCCGTATAACATATTATGTAAAGCTTTACGTAACTCTGGCCGAGTACGCAGATTTAGAACGACTTCGCAATGAATAATTGGACATTAATTGTACTACGAATATAATAAAATTTTTCTATTCCATTCATAATTAGATGTTTGACGCGATCTTTAACGATGTGGCTATTAGATGTCATTTACACCCAAACTTGTACAGATTAAATAAAATTCAAAAAATCTTTTTAAAAATGTATATTCGTAATACTTTCGGTATTATTTACATATCATACTACTGTCCTGTAATAAACGTAGAAAAAAAACTTAATCAATATCTAAACACAAATCAACATTTAAAGCTAAAAAACAAGGAGAGATCAGTTCTTTTAGTGATGGTATTCGTGACCACCGTCGTAGCTCCCGTGTCCCTCGAAGCCCCCGTTTTGTTCAAAACCTCCATTCTGCTCAAAACCTCCGTGCTGCTCAAAACCTCCGTGCTGCTCATAACCTCCGTGCTGGCCTTCATAGCCGCCGTTTTGCTCGAAGCTTCCGTGTCCTTCCGAGCTGTGACCACCGTTACCACCTCCCTCGTGGATTTCATGTTTGTCTTCGTGCACAATAGGTACTGGCACTTTCACTGTGTACGGCACGTGTTTCTCGACTGGATAAGCCACGTGCTTCTCAATGTGGACAGGGTATGGCTTGTCAACGGGGATGTGTACTGGGATAGGTACTTTCTTCTCGACTGGGTAGGGAATAACCTTTTCTACAGGGTAAGGTGCTGGTACGGGCACCTTGACGGGTACTGGCACGGGTTTGTCTACATGAACGGGTACTGGGTTGTCCACGTGCACCTTGACTGGGTATGGCACTTGTTTTTCCACTGGGTATGGAACAGGTTTCTCGACATGGACGGGCACTGGTTTGTGTACATGGACCGGTACTGGGTTGTCAACATGTACTGGAACAGGGTAGCGGACAACCTTCTCAACTGGATAGGGCACGTGTACCTTGACTGGAACTTTGACTGGGAAGGGCACTTCTTTCTGAACTGGGTATGGGTGTGGGACGTGAACCTTTACTGGAACAGGGATATGTTTCTCTACAGGGTAGGGAACCTTCTCATACACCTTAACTGGAACTGGCCTATCGACATGTACCTTGACGGGATAAGGTACGTGCTTGGTCACAGGGTATGGTTTCGGGATATATTCGGGAACTTTTATGTACTCCTTGACCTCGAAGTGTACTGTTTTAACTACAGGGTAGGGCTGTGGAACTGGTACTTTGACGGGCACTGGCACATGCTTTTCAACTGGATATGGGATATGTTTTTCCACTGGGTAAGGAACCGGAACCTTCTTGATGACTGTTATGGTTTTCTCATGACTTTCATGACCGTAGCCTCCATGGTCTCCACCATAACTGCCTTGGTCTCCAAAGCTACCGTGGTCCCCAAAACTCCCGCTGTCTCCAAGGCCATGGTCACCGTAATACTCTGACAGCCCTCTTTTGTCCTGTTTTTTACTTTCTTCAACTTGCTTTGGTTCAGCCTTTGAATCTTTCTCCGCCTTTTCCTCTGCCGTGGCCAGGCTTATAGCCACGGCCAAGATTAGGGTAGAACTCTAGAAAATAAATAAAATGTATTAGTTAAAATATCGTAAGCACAACCTTATATTACGTTAACTTAATATTCGAAGCACTCAAATTACTGCATATAACATAGAAAGCATAACACAATATTTAATTTAAATATTTTTTTTAATTAGCTTTTAGTAAATTAAAATAGTCAGTTTTTAGCAAATTAGGGTAACTTTTTTTATACAGAAAGCTAGTATATTCTTACTGACCAGGAGCCTCATATTCGCTTTGCTCTGTTCAGCGAAGGCTGCAAAGGAGTGTGCTCTGTTGGACACAGCCAGTGGTTATATACGGAGAGTAAGTTGGTCCATCGATCAATGAGGCAAACACTTTCGCTCATACGATCGAGATGCATGTGTGCGTGTTTTTATTTTTTTAACATTACAGATTTATTTTAATCGTTGATTACCATATCTTTAATTATATTTCGTTTTAGTTTATTCTTCAATTATAAACAGAGACTTAGTCCTTCATATGACATAAAATTAAATATTCTTCAACGAAGATTTACTTTTATACTTTAAAATTTTATGAATCATATTAGATTTCTGTTTTAAAATTTGTCGTAATATTGTGTTCATTATGATTTCATATACATATATATTATTATCTTAAGTCTAACATTAAATCAATTTATTAAAATCTAGTACATTCAAAACACTACATCCACTAATAACTATGGCAACAGAGCATTGAACCTATTACAACGTAACGTGGTAGTCAAACTATTCCATAGTTAATGAGCCGATGAGATGTTATGATAGGATGTACTCGTTCTAAATACACTCAATAAATGTTAAATATATATAAAGGCTTGTAAATTAGAATCAATTTTCAGTTTTTTATCTCGTCATAACAAAAATAATGACCAAAATCATAAAACTCTGACCATAGGCAGAGTTAAAGTCGGAAGGATTATAATATTAAATTAAATATAGTCCTATATTCCACATCAAAAAAAGAAATCGTAGCAAGAAATCATATTTATTTATAATATTAAGTAACATTATAGTATGACATAATTATTATATGTTCAAATAAATAATAATCTATTTACTTTTTACATAACAATCGTAGACATTTAATGAGTCGATGTGACTTTTATTATCGCTCGTTAAACTGTTTAACTTCCTTCCAATTACGAGATCTTGCTACATCGAAAATAATAAGTAGGTATTATTAATAAAAATACATAAAAATAATCAATAGTATTATAATTTATCCTATTGAAATCAATACTAAAATATTTCATATAAAAATTGACCTAATTTCTTCAAAATAGACACTTCATTTTATTATGTCAAATCTTTATAATAGCGAAATGAATGCAATTTATGTAAATTATTTAGATCGCTTAGAAATAAATCTCAGAATAAAAATAACAACAGACAATTCCATTCTATATCTTGATAGTTTATATTAAGCAGAAATAAATAATGTATTATATAACGATTATAGAACATACGAATGCACTAGATAATTTAGTTCTTAATTCGATACTATGTAATGAGAGGAGAGACATTCTATTCTAAGAGGATCGGGTTACATTGACCGCAAGGAAGCAGGCTGTATAAGTTATGCAAATATTAGTCATGTCCTAACTAGATTTTGGCCGCGACTTCACTCGGGTAACTTGTATGTAATATAATAAAGATCAAAGCCTAACAGACGGAATCTGAAAGTTTATTGTATACGGATGACTGCTTAATTTTTTGCTGTATAATGATTAAATATGTATTTCAATGTACGTTAAAAATTTTAGTAAGCTATAAGACGTAATAAACAACTGTCTTCTTCTTATACCTGGCAATTTCCCAGCTTTAGCCAGGGTCTGCCTTATGTGTTGGGAATAGTTTTTGCTAATTGTTTTTACGACCGGCCGCCTGCCTGACATCAACCCTCTTTTGGGAATGCATTAATCAGTGATGTTTAAATACTCTTAAAAAGTACATATGACTCGGAAAAATCACATTGGTACTTGCCAGGATCGAACCCGCGCCCTCATGCATGAGAGGCAGGCCTTTTAACCACTAGGCCACCACAGACTGCGAAGACGTAATAAACAATTTTATTTAAATATTCATACTAGTCGGTTATTACTAATTAATATATCATTCACCGAAATTCTCCTTTTATGTCTTAATTATTAAAATACAATTGAACTTGTATTCTTTAGAAATATCTATTTTTTTCACAAGCGCAGTCTCAAGTCTCTTAAATATTTATTAATTACAGTTTCTATATATTTCTTAACATTTTAATACATGTTCTGTACATTGCAAATACAAAAGTTACTTTAATAAATTTTTATTGTTATAACACGATACGAATTAACTGTTGCATTATAATTATATATTGTTTTGTTGGTTTTACACAATAAATATGTTACAAAATTCACATCACGACGACTGATCACAGTCTAGTTTAGAATTTGTTACTTGTTATTCAATGGTATCAATGTTGCTTAAATCGACATCTATATATATAGAAATAGATAGGTATTCTTGGTAATGATGACCGAATAAAAAGCTATATATGTATAAACTAAAAGTTATTTACAAGCGTTCGCACTTATGTAATAATACTATTGGTATATATTATAAATTTCTCGAAGCTTTAAGTAATATATTAAGAAAACAGGAATTTAAGTAATATATATTTAACGATTAATATTTATTTTTTAATACATATTTGTATAAATATGTTTACAATATTATCATTAATATTACGTACATGACACGTAACTCAGCGAGAGGTGCTAGCAGATCTATATTCTTGCACAACTCTCTAGATTGATCTACGACTGTTCTACATTTATGTAAAGATTGTTAAAACAATATATTGTGTAAAAATTTTGATGTCATTAATATTATTATTAAAAAACCTACTTAAGTTAAAGTTTTTGTTCATTTGTTCATGATAATTTGATGTCAACAGCGTCATAGATACGTGTCATTTGTAAAATAAAATAGAGGCTAGATCATCAAAAAACTCTTATACACGAGCAAAACGCTTCTATTTTAGTTGATATTTAATCCGTTACAATATTATTATTCACGTCTCGATGTCACTTATCTGTTACTTTTGTATTAGAATTCATTGTTCTACTTATTTTACAAACATATTATATAAAGCATTATTTAGAAAATCTTAATTCTTATGTAGGTACATTTCCGCGAAATAAATGTAAATAATTTAGAAAAATAATTACTGTTGTCTTCTATATAATGTATATAGTCCAAAGATAAGGATAAATAAATTTTATTCCCATTCTATTTATTACAAATGAAATAATAATGAAAATCTTTTGTACCATAATACTAAAGTATTTCGTAAGACGATTGCCTTAGCGTTTATGGACAATAAATTGCCGTGGAACAAAGCATTGATTTTAATCGAAGTCATTTACACATTGCCTAAGTGTAAGTACACTTTCGTTGCCCTTGATTTTTGATTGATAAAATATACGCATGATTTAGAAATAATGTAATATGTTGTTATTAATTAGATTTTCTCATTCACGAAATATGTCTCATACTAATTATATGGCATATATTTTACTATTTAAGATAATGTAACTGCAATCTAATTACTTTGTGAATTACAAAACTTACGGAGTTTTTTTGTATTTGTTATAGAATTTCCTTAAAGCTTTACAAATTCTTTCAGTTTTTTTAATACATTATTCCTATAACAAATTTTTGTGAGATATTAAAATAAATAATTTCGAAGCCTAAGTCTCGGTAATATGACTTACTATTTGAATTCCAAATATATTACCAACGATAAACAAACAAATATAGTTTTTTTTTTAAATTTCAAAGTTAATCAGATTTTGTATCAATTAAAGTTATTTCGTATTAATAATATTATAACCTAAGTCGAATAAAAACCCCATACCAATTAAGTAATCTCAAATTACTTTCACTACACATTTCTAGTTTATAAATATTTAATATGTATATCATTTATTATAATATTAGTTATGTTTTCTTACTTTTTCTTTCACGGTTAACAACTTTTTTTACCTATGATATAATATCGTAACTTTATACTGAGTATCATATTAAAATAAATTGATAATGATATTTGTTAGAGACTTAATATGAATGGGAGCTAAATTTTCATGAATAATTTATACAATTAATTACTCTACCATAAAGAAATATATATATAAGATTATATTTCTGTTTTTTATCCTGAAGCAAAAGAACGACGAAATAGGAAAATATTTCCAACTTCTTGTATTTGAATAGTGTTATTGGAAATAATAAAGGGTACTTACTAAATAATTGCCAGTAAAAACTGATGATTTTCAATATTATTCATTAAACATAAGAAAAATATGACCTATGTATGTATTAAGTAATTGACCGTTTAATAAAAGGTCATGAAATATATGCAACAGTATGTTTATAATATTTTTTATGAATACCAAACATCACCATATAGATGTAAGTGCCTGCATAATTAATTATTATGGTTGCACAACATGTAATCCCACGCGTCTTCTTCCGTAAAATTTGATGATACAAATGTACTGGGAAATGAAATTTTTGTGTGTGAATATATTATGTATTATATACTTATAATAGATTATACATAATATAAAACATATACCTATTGATGTATATGCATAGCACTTTATTTATATGGTACAAATTGGTAATGATTCAAATATAATTGTTCAATTTGCTTATATATTAAGTATCATGATAAATGTTATATTAATGAGTTGAAATCTCTCTAGAGTTTTTCTTGACCTTTCGATCACTATTTCTATAATATTTTCATTTAATATTCCTTTATATCAAAAGAATATTTATTTATATATATTTTTCAATGTAAAACAAATCAATTAATGTAATAACAAATGTAATTTTAGTTTCAAGCACATTAGTGCGTGACATTTTAAATTATATCAATGAACACGTAAGGCAAGAACGATTTTAACCTTCAATACAAGTGTTTCTAATATATATACTAGTGTATTCACAGTCATAGGTGGCTAGTGGTTCAAGGCCCGCCTCTCATGTATCAGGGCGCGGGTTCGATCCTGGCAAGTACCAATGTGATTCTTCTGAGTCATATGTACTTTCTGAGAGTATTTAGGCACCACTGACCGACGGTGAAGGAAAACATAGTGAGGAAAGCTGGTCTTATAATTTCACAATTATAAGTTTGAAATCACCAACCCGTCTTGAGCAAGCGTGGTGATTAA